AATAAAGTCTTGGGGGGGGGGGGCAGAGAAAGTTTAGGGCAGAGCAGACAAAGCCCAGGCAGTAACTGAAGAGAAAGGCCCGTGAGCATAGAAAATGCAGGAACACAGCACCAGCTTGGAACCTCGCTCTGAGCTGCGAAACTGATAGCAAAATGGTCTGGCTGGATGTGTCTGGCACATAGTAGGTGCTTGATAAATTTCTGTTGAAAGACGCAGACCTGGGATGTGAGACCTCCCAGAGGAAATCTAATGCGATAGAGAGCTGGAAAATGGGGGCAGATGAAATGGTTATTTCGTGTAAAGCTCAGCCAACAGGATTAAAAAGAATGCTTTCTTAGTATCTTGTCTCATGACCGCAGACTCGCTCTGGGAGCCAAACACACTTGGAGCGGAGGCACCCGCAACCGCCACTGCTGAAAAGAGTAAGAATCTAAGGTGTCGGGGCAGAGCGCCCTCTAGTGGAACTGTGGGCGGATCATTGTGAAGGAAAGACAGCTAAATAGTTGAATATTTACCAAAAGCCAAGGCACGGCTAGGTGAACACTGAGTGTACAGAGAAAATTAGAAATTCGGCTGGCCCTCCCATGCTAGTTACCCTCCACCCAGGAGAAAGAGTCAGCAGGAAAGTGTAGTCAGTAGTATTATCAGTGAGAGGTCGGTGACAAGAGCACTGGATTAGGAGTTCAGAAGGCCAGCTGTGCTGCCTTGGGCTAAGTCACTTAAGTTTATGACGTTCAGTTTATTCTCTGTCAAATGGTGTGAAAGAGAAAATCATTCTCTGTCGGAGTTGAGGAGGGACACAGGTACTAGGATTCCCAACTGCCTGGAGTAGGGGAGACTCTGTCCAGTTCTCTGTCCCAGCTCCACTAACCCTCGGTCCCCCGTCCCTCCCTCCCCTCAGGCCCGTCCCCTTTCATCTCTCACCTGTGCTTTAGGATGGCGTCCTCGCTGGTATACCTGTACAGACCTGAGAGAGGGCAGGAAGGAGGCTAAGTCCAGAGTCCCCAGCACCAGGCTAGAGATCTAACCCCCCACAGTGTTCTTACTGGACCCAGGGAGCCCTGGCCGCCTGGAGCCCACTGCACTCTCTCACCTGGGCCCAGGTGCACCCCAGTGCGGCGCCGGCAGTGGACACACACAGTGATGCCCAGCAGCAGCAGCCAGAGCACAACACCCCCGGAGGCGATGACCTCTGGACGCCTCAGAGTGGCTCTCAGCTGCTCCAGGGTCCACGGGCCATGGTCCCTGGGCTCCCGGGCTGCTCGCTCCATGGTCTGCTCTGTATGGAATTTGGAGCTCAGGGGTAGGGGGCAGGTGAGGCGATGAGGGTTGGACAGAGAAGGGGGAGGGGCTGGGAGTATGAGGTGGGAACTGGGGAGAGAGGGAGGTGGGAACTGGGGTTGAGGGATACGGGTGGGATCAGTGGAGACTGTCCTCACCTAAAACGAGGCACACAGGGCTGCTGGGCTCCCCAGCCCCAGCACCAGTGACTGCAGCCACCTGTACGCAGTAGGAACCTGGCACGTGGGTGGGGATCTCCAGCTGGGTCTGCTCGCCGGCCACTGTCCAGTTGGTTGAGGGCACTGAGGTGTTGCTCAGGCTCCACACCTAAGGACAAGCAGGGGTGAGCAGCGCCCCTGGCACCATCCCAGCTGCTGAACCCATCATCTGTAGGTCAGACTTTGAGCCTGTAGTCATCCTGCCTTGGGGTTTACCAGGGGACACTCCCCACACTTGCACCCACACTTCTATTCCTGTCCTGTGCCCTATATTCTGACCTCAGCCTCACTTTCCATGCCTGTAAACTGGGGATAAGAACCCACGTGGACTGTGAGATGAAAAGAGATCAGGTATATAACTGCCTGGCTGGGTCTGGCAGATGCTCCCTCACTTCCCTGCACAGGTACATTTCTCAGTGCCCAGAGCAAGGGCACGCAGGATGCCAGGGAAGAGGGAGGTCCTGGCACCATTAGGAAGGGGTGTATCAGCTTGTGGGGGTACCTGGTAGCTGCGGATGATGCCATTGTGGTTTTCAGCAGGTGGTGGGACCCAGTTTACAAGGACACTGCCATTGCCAGGTTTTAGGGTTACCTCCTGTGGAGGGGCACTGGGCACTGGGGAGAGGGAGAGAGGCTGTAAGGAATGAGGGAGAGGACCCGGGAGGGAGCTGGGATGGGGACACAGGGTCAGAGGCCATACTGATGAGAGTAAGAGCTCTGCCTGTCTGAGCAGGGCAGAAGGGAGTCCAGGAGTAGGCACCCCCTCCCCAGACTGCAGTGGGACAGTCCTCCAGGACCCCACAGGCAAGAAGGGACCAGAGGGTCTACTGTTGGGTTCTGGGGGCATCTGTCCCTGACCTTGCTCAGGCAGCCTCAGGAGCAGCACATTGCTGTCAGGGCCTCGAGCCTGGCCGAAGGATGGTCTCACTTTGAATTCGTAGTCTTGGCCCCACTGGAGGCCCCCAAGCTCTGCGTTCTGCCAGCCAGCCAGCAGGGCCTCTGCCCACGGAGCTCCCTGGCCTCCTGGTGCCGACTGGGTCCTGAACAGCGCTGTGTAGGACAGAGCAGAGGCAGCTCGGCCGCTTACCTGGGAGAGAGTCCCGAGAAAGGCAGAGGGGTCAGGGGCTCATGATCAGTCCTTTCTTGAGTCCTGGCCTAGCTCTATCCCTGGGTCCCGGGCCTCACCTTCCAGCTGAGCCACACAGCAGGCCCAGACTTGGTGCCCTTGGAGGGATCGGGGTTCAGCAGGGTCACATTTTCTAGCTGAATGTGCTCAGCCAGCAGCTCGAGAGGATGCTCTGTGGGAAACAGGGCTGGGGTGGGGGCTACAGGCCGGAGGGAAGGGCCTGAGGAGTAGGGTAACCCTTAGCTGCTGAGAAACCAAACTCCCAGCTTCCCCAGGACTGGAGCGCTGTTTCACTGTTAGATGGGGAAGCCACCCCTAAAATGGGGTCCACACCACTCTGATGCCCATCCCAGGTTGAACCCCACATACCCTAACCTCAGTCCAAACCAGACCACACTAGCCTAACTGGAGCCCCCCGCATTGGCCCTGACTTTAGCTACCCTTCTTTACCCTGGACAGACACCCTGGCTGCCCGGCTCTCCCGTTGTCCAGCTTTGTTGGTGGCCACACATATATAGGTCCCTGCGTCGCTCTTCTCTGCTCTGACCATCCTCAAGGAGCCCCCGGACACCTGTCAGGGCAGGCGCACTGTGAGGAGGAGGGGCTCTGGCTGGGAGGGAAGCTGAAGGCCTCACTGCTTTCCTTCCCTCACATTCTGCAGGGCTGGAGGCTGGAGGGGGGGGGGGGGGG